GTCTCTTCAGGTCCTGTTTGGATCTTTGTGTCTCTCAGAGTCTCTTCAGGTCCTGTTTGGATCTTTGTGTCTCTCAGAGTCTCTTCAGGTCCTGTTTGGGTCTTTGTGTCTCTCAGAGTCTCTTCAGGTCCTGTTTGAGTCTTTGAGTCTCTTCAGGTCCTGTTTGAGTGTTTGAGTCTCTTCAGGTCCTGTTGGGTCTTTGAGTCTCTTCAGGTCCTGTTTGGGTCTTTGAGTCTCTTCAGGTCCTGTTTGAGTCTTTGAATCTCTTCAGGTCCTGTTTGAGTGTTTGAGTCTCTTCAGGTCCTGTTGGGTCTTTGAGTCTCTTCAGGTTCTGTTTGGATCTTTGTGTCTCTCAGAGTCTCTTCAGGTCCTGTTTGGGTCTTTGTGTCTCTCAGAGTCTCTTCAGGTCCTGTTTGAGTCTTTGAGTCTCTTCAGGTCCTGTTTGGGTCTTTGAGTCTCTTCAGGTCCTGTTTGAGTGTTTGAGTCTCTTCAGGTTCTGTTTGGGTCTTTGTGTCTCTCAGAGTCTCTTCAGGTTCTGTCTGGGTCTATGTGTCTCTCAGAGTCTCTTCAGGTTCTGTTTGGGTCTTTGTGTCTCTTCAGGTTCTGTTTGGGTCTTTGAGTCTCTTCAGGTTCTGTTTGGGTCTTTGAGTCTCTTCAGGTCCTGTTTGGGTCTTTGTGTCTCTCAGAGTCTCTTCAGGTTCTGTTTGGGTCTTTGAGTCTCTTCAGGTTCTGTTTGGGTCTTTGTGTCTCTTCAGGTCCTGTTTGGGTCTTTGAGTCTCTTCAGGTCCTGTTTGGGTCTTTGAGTCTCTTCAGGTTCTGTTTGGGTCTTTGTGTCTCTCAGAGTCTCTTCAGGTCCTGACTTGTGTGACGGGGATCATGGGTCGAACACCTCAGAGAGGTAAACCTCTTCAGTTTTTTAGGTTTTAAATCCGTCTGTAAACAAAACTCAGCTGAGTTCTGGTTCTTGTCCGGTTTTAGATCCAAAAGAGGAGAAGAAGGAGAGACGGAGCAGCATCTCAGCAGGTTCTGCCCTCGACAAATCCAACGGTTTGTTTTTAACCCTCCGTCCTTTCAGCTAAGAGCTAGTCATTAGCTACAACCTGTTGTACACACATTCAGCTAAGAACTAGCCTTTAGCTACAACCTGTTTTACACACATTCAGCTAAGAGCTAGCCTTTAGCTACAACCTGTTGTACACACATTCATCTAAAATGTAGCCTTTAGCTGAAACCGTTTGCAGACACTTGCAGCTAATGCTAGCCTTTAGCTCCAGTCTGTTGAATACATGTGCAGCTAAAAGCTAGACTTTAGAGTTTGTCTGTTGTACACATGTAATTAGCATTTAGCTGCAGCCTTCTTTATAGTGTGCAGCTAAAAGGTTGCCTTTAGCTGCAGCATTGCATTTAGCATGCAGCTAAAAGTTAGCCTTTAGCTGCAACATTTTGTATAGCATACCGCTAAAAGTTAGCCTTTAGCTGCATCATTTTATATAGCATCCAGATAAAAGTTAGCCTTCAGCTGCTGCATTTTGTATAGTATGCAGCTAAAAGTTAGCTTTTAGCTACAGCCTTTTTGTATAGCATGTAGCTAAAAATTGCCTTTAGCTGGAGAATTTTGTATAGCATGCAGCTAAAAGTTAGTCTTTAGCTGCAGAATTTTATATAGCATGCAGGTTAAAGTTAGCCTTTAGCTGCAGACTTATGTCTAGCATGAAGCTAAAAGTTAGCCTTTAGCTGCAGCATTTTCATAGCATGCAGCTAAAAGTTAGCCTTTAGCTGCAGCATTTTTATAGCATGCAGCTAAAAGTTAGCCTTTAGCTGCAGCATTTTTATAGC